ACTCCCAACAGCCTGCGCGGCCCTTGGTAACCCGGGCGACAATCGAGCCGGTATAGTTTTCGATGGCGTCAATACCATGATTGGCAGGTGGCTGAATTTTACGGAAACTTGCCACGGTCTCCAACCCTCCTCCTTTCTCATTCGGGCTTGGGACCGGCAACGGCGGAGTTATGTTAAACATTGTATGTAAAATTTTGCTATATAAATTAAGTTAATTTATATCAGCTCACTGTTTTTCCATAAAAATTGGACTCATAATATCAAATTTTATGAAATAATTTGGCAGCGCAATTATCCGTTCCACCTTAACTTTGGAAAGAAACAGTGAATAAAACTGTTGTCGCACGTCGTAATGTTCATGCGCAGTTATAACGTGGATTGGTGATATGAAACAAAAATATTGGAATTTTATAATTTTTTCAATGGATTTGTATTGTGTTCTCAGTGAGTTTCCCATTGACATGCAACATGACAATATAAACCATAAATTCCACTAAGTTAGGCATAACTCGAAATTAACGCTCTCTTTATCCAATCGTCATAAGACAAATCTGTAATTCACTAGTTTGACAGATGTCTAGTACTGTACTCGCTGAGAGATATTTATTAGTATGTGAATAATAAAGTTTCACATTGTGTACACGGAGAGCTTAGCATCGACATATAATATGGTGGTTTGAATGAATCAGTTCATTGCGGTGACTACATTGTAATTATACAGATTTAAACTCGCGCCACAGTACTGCATGTTAGCTATCGATCGACGCCGAAACGGCTGGCACCATAACGGCCGAGCCGAATCGCCTCATTCCATCCATTGGTGTTTTTGTAGATTTTATTTCAAATACTTTAAAAGCGAATTCTGAGCACAGACCGCTACCACCTTCAAACAAGGATATTTTAAAATGTAGAACAAGTCAGTCGTGAATAAAAGTTGAGTAGCAAGTCATTTTCTGAAACTGTCTGAGGATTAGGTTGCTACGAAGTATAGTTATCTCAGTGCATCGAGTGTTTGCTTTCTGATCACTTCAAACTATTTTGTGATGACAGCAGAACTATGAACCTCATACTGGGTAAAACCCAAACCACTATTAGAAAGAGTGGAACCGAAGTTCTATTCATCTAGCGCTGTACATAAGATGTTTCAATGTAACGTTTGTTTCTTTATTCACTGACCACATCTGTCCGTTTCGCAATGATGAAGCCCTCATTTTCTAGGCTGTTTAATTTGTTAACGGGAAAAAAAGAATAGCCAACAACTTTAGCATTTAAGGAGCACTGCTTGTAATGCGGAAAAGATGCTTGCGATACAGATCTTCCAAAAATTACATCGAAAGAATCTCACGATGGCTAAGTAGTCTTTAGAATGCCACAGAATTTCGTCCATGGAAAAGTGATAAAACTGCCAAGAAATGACTATTTTATGAACATTGCATTAAAGTATGCGACGGTTTTGCAGAAATTTCAAGAAAATTTACTACAGGAAACGTTTTCAGAACTTTAAAACCAAATAAT